ATTTTGAGGTTGTTCACTCATCCTAGAATCCCCCATGTATGGAAACAAGCTGTGAGCATTTACTGTGTTAAACCCCTTAAGAATCTTATACGTTTTCTAAATTCCAATGTGTAGAGTCCTGACCTGTTTAAACTTTGCTCCAAAGACAATCCTTCCTTACCAGGGATCATCCAAGTAAACTTTTCTTTACTGTCTCCAACAAAATAATGTGTTTTTTAAACGAGGGAACCAAACTGCTCACAATACTCCAGATGTGATATCACCAATACCTTGTAAGGTTGCAGTAAGATTTCCCTACTCTTCTACTCCAAACCCCTTGAAATAAGGGCCAACATTCCATTAGCCTTCCTGTATCCCAGATGCATCTGTGTGCTAGCTTTCTGCGTTTTTCACAAGTACTCCCAAATCTCTTTGTGTTGCCGCTTTCTCCAGCTTTTTTTCTCCATTTAAATTATACTGTTCTTTTATTGCCCCTTTCAAAATGAACAAGTTCACATCTTCCCACATTATACACCACTTTGTCATTATTTTAGCCACTTACTTAAGCTATCACTATCTCTCTGTAGATTATTTCAGGGGAGGTGATAGCCTAGTGGTATTCTCACTGGACTATCAATCCAGAGACCCAGGTAATGTTCTGGAACCTGGGTTCAAATCCCACCATGGCAAATGGGGGACTTTGAATTCAATTTTAAAAAAATATGGAATTAAGAGCCCGATGATGACAGTGAACCCATCTGGTTCACTAATGTCCTTTAGGGAAGGAAACTGCCATCCTTACCTGGTCTGGCCTACATGTGACTTTCGACCCACAGCAATGTGGTTGACTCTCAACTACTCTCTGGGCAACTAGAGATGGACAATAAATGCTGGCCTAGCTGGTGCTGACCACATGACATGAATGAATAAATATTTTTTTTAAATTATTTGTATCTCACTCGCAACTTGCCTTTACACTTATTTCTGTGTCATCTGCAAACTTGACTACAGTACATTCACTTCCAATCTCTAAGTCATTAATGCATATTGTAAACAGTTGGGGTCCCAGCAATGATTCCTATGGAATCTCAATGGTCACAGGTGGCCAACCTGAAAAAGAACCACTTATCCCCACTCGCTGTTCCCTGCCCATGACCCAATTCTCTATCTATTCCAATATATTAACTCCAACACTGTGAGCTCTTATCCCATGGCAACCTTTTGTGAGGTACCTTGTCAAACGACAGTGGGAGTCCAAATAAAACACATCTACTGATTCTCCTCGATCCACTCTCATTGAAATTCCTGGAAAAACCTATAATAAATTAGTCAGACATATTCTGGCACCAGGATCAAGGATATCCAAGGGGAAGAAATTAAACACCTAGCAGACATAGTCCAATGTAGTGCAAATGATATAGATTGGAAAGAAGGATGGGGTACGGGGCCTCCAAGTTTAAGGAGTTTGGAAACAAAGTGGCAAACAACACCTTAAAGATAGTAGTCCCTGAATTATTCTTTGTGCCATATGCTACACAGTAGGGAACTAGGAAGATGGAGCAACTGAATGGGTGGTTAGAGATATGGTGCAAGTGGGAAATCTCTAGCTTCCTGGAATATAGGACCTATGCAGCCTGGACAGGTTGCACTCGAACAGTGCTGGATCAACTGTACTTGGGGAGTGATTTACTTGTGCAGTTGGAGGATATTTAAACTAACTGGAGAGGGAGCATCAGAGCCATTGGGAACATTAGAGAGCAAAATCCAAGGGGCATAGAAAAGTGGGAAATGGATACTGCAAGACCAGAAAAAATTAAAGTTTTAGGTGGATTACAGTAACAAACAATGTAATAAGATAGCTAGTCTGAATTGTGACAGATTGCGAAAAAGGGAGTGCAACAAAACCAGGATAAGGATGCAGGTGTAGAAGGTGATGAAGGCAGCAAATGATATGCTGGCGTTCATAGCCAGGAAATTCGAGTACAGGAGCACGATGGCAGAAATTACATATGAAGAGAGACTGGATTGGTTGGGACTACATTCACTGAAGTTTAGAAGAATGAGGCGGGGATATCATAGAAACCTGCAAAATTCTAAAAGTACTAGACAGGGTAAATGCAAGAAAGATGTTCCAGGGAAGTCCAGAACCGGGGATCATAGAGTAGAGACGTGGGATAAATGGGATAAGGACCAAGAGCAGCAGAACTTTCTTCATCTAGTGAGCAGCAAGCCAATGGAATTCCTAGAAGCAGGAAGCGGTTGAGGCCAAAATATTGAATATTTTCAAGGTAGCGTTAGATATAGTTATTGGGACAAAAGGGATCAAAAGATATGGAAATAAAGCAGGTATAGAGTTGGCTGATCAGCCATGATCGTATTGAATGGCAGAGCAATCTCGAACGGCCAAATGACCTACACCAGCTTCAATGTTTCTAAGGTATAAATTAGAGTTACAATGTAGGTGTGGGGTGAGGTAATTAACATTAGTGAGCTATAAGTGCAGATTGCCACAAGGACGCATGATGTCATGGTAATAATGGTGGCCTGGTTCAAAAAAATCAGGACTGAGGACTCAATATCCTTGGATACAAGGTGTTCAGGAAAGTTTGGGAAAGGAAGAAAGGAGGAGGCCTAGTAAAATGGAAGCAAACAGAGCAGCACAATGCTGAACAGGAGGGTTCAAGAGACAATATCTATTTGGTTAGAGCTAAGAAACCACAGAAGCGCCATTACATTGTTGGGTATATTCCGTTGCTCTGTAGGAAGGATATAGAGGAACCAACTTGCAACAAAATTACAGAGGTGATAGATATATAGGGTAATTATAAAGGGGACATTATTACTATTCCAGGCTGCATTTGGGCAATTAAAAGGCAGAAAGGGGCAAGAGTTCCCAGTGTATTCAGGAGAATTTTCCAGTGTGTTTCCCCCAAGACTAAGGAGGCATTGTTAGATCTGGTCCTAAGAAATTAGAACCAAGTGTCAGTGAAGATATAGTTAAGTGACAGCAATCAAAGTATCATAAATTTTTGGTTGACTATGGAAAAAGAACGAGTATAAATAATTGGGGAATGGCCGACATCAGTGGAGAATTAATTTGGTAAATTGTAATCAAAACTTAGCAGGCAAAACTGTAACAGAACAACAGGCTGCTTTTAAGGAGGAGTTTATTAGAATAGAGTCAAATATATTCCTATCAGAAGGCAGGTAGGACAAAACACCAGAATTTTCCAGCTGATGAAAGAGCGAGGGAAAGATGAAGCTATTATATGCAGTGAATTAAACTAAGCTAATGACTTACTTCTGCAATGGTGGATCCTCATGAGATGGCCAAGATGGGTCATCAATTCAGATTATCTTCTCAGTTGCACATATATTCTGGGCTTCAATTAGTTACTTCATCATCCACCACCATTCATGACTAGATATGATAGGATTGCAAAGTTTTGAACTGATCCATTGGTTGAGATTGTTAAGCTCTGTATTCAGAATGGTGTTTAGCATGTGTGTAGTCTCATGTTGTAGCTCCAACAGGCTGGCACACCTACTGTTGTTTATGGGGTCATCTTTGACACTCCTCACTGAATCAGAATTGGCCCATACCTTGACAATAATAGGAGAATGTGGAATATGTCCAGTTATGAAGTTACATATTGTTGGGGAATGCAATTCTGATGCCCACTGTCTCACAGTATGCTCAGTTTTGAGCTGTTCTGACTTTGTCCAATTTAGAATGCTAATACAATGTAATACAAAACATAAAGTAACAGTATAATGAAGAGCGTCCTCAATATGAAGAAGGGACTTCATCTCCATAATAACTCTGCAGTTGGTACTCATGTCAGTACTATCATTGGTAACTGCGTCTGTCAAAAGATAAATTTGTAGGTAAAAGATGAAATTGGATTTCTCTCGTATTTGTTCCTTCGCCAATATTGCAAGGTCATGCTAGAGATTGGGGGTTAGCCCAATTGGCTGGGCGACTGGCTTGCAATGCTGAGTGATGTTAACAGTGTGAGTTAAATTCCAGCACCAGCATGAAGAACTCTCTCCTTCTCAACCTCTCCCCTTGCCTAAGATTACCACCAGTCACCTCCCACTAATGAAAAAGGGCAGGCTTATAGTTTGCTAGGATTATGGCAAGTTTACCTTTATTATTTAACTCAACTCCCAAACCCACATCAAAACTGAGTTTGTTCATGGATCTTGAGCCAGCTACTCAAAGAGAAGAAAATTTAATGAAATAAACTCAGGGTCCTGTATTCGGGGAAGCTGCTTTCCAAGAATTCAAACCTGGCGGAAGCTGAAATTGCTGGCAACGAGTATCGTTTGATTAGTATTTATAAAGAGAATATAATGGGCTAACATCTCAGGCAAAAGAGTGGTTGGTTGTTTGTTTGCTTGTTTTGAGTGCCAACACCAAGAAACCCAAAATGATGAAAACACTCCAATATATTCTGTAACTGCCAAAAGGGAAAAAAACAAAACAGAGATAACACAGTGTGGAGCTGGAGGAACACAACAGGCCAGGCAGCATCAGAGAAGCAGGAAAACTGACGTTTCGGGTCGGGACCCTTCTTCAGAAAAATGGCCCATTTCTGAAGAAGGGTCCTGACCCGAAACGTCAGCTTTCCTGCTTCTCTGATGCTGCCTGGCCTGTTGTGTTCCTCCAGCTCCACACTGTGTTATCTCTGACTCCAGCATCGGCAGTTCCTACTTATCTCTGACCAAAAAAAGCGAACCGTGTTACTATGCAATTCCAAGTTTTGTTTCATGTTTCCACCGTCGTATGTTTCTTTTTATTACTTGCATGTAGACTCAATGCGGTTGAGACTGAAATGATGTTAATGCAGGTTCCTGGCAGCCAGGTTTAACATAGTCTCCAACCGTCCAGCAAAGAAGAAGAGGGGAAAAGGCTACGGTCGACAATGAATCACTTAATTTGCAACGTACAAGGAGAATGTACACGAAACTCCCATAATGTGCCCCATCATTTCCTAAAATTATAATGCATCACTCACAATGTATGTCCGCACACGTTCACCATCAGTTTCAGCGAAGGGTTGCGGTATTTCGTGGTTTTACAGCGAGGACATCTCTGATCATCCATCCTGACAGGTCTCTTGGAAACAGCGCGGCAAGCACATGTGTCCCGCCGCTACACCAAGCACTGCACAAAGAGTCCGGCTTCACTGAGCTGGCGGAAGACAAAGGGGAGGACACGGGTGGAGCATAACCCTGACAGCGGTGGGAATGAGAAGATGAACAATAGCTGCTCTGTAATCCTGCAAATTCCCAGCTGCTGTGTTACACCGCAGAAGTATTGCCTATTGAGGGGAAAAAAAGATGATTTTTTTGTACTTATTAATTTCTCCATGACAGCTTAAAGCTGCGGTTGTCATTATTTCATAGGTATGATATTTTTATGTTTTCAATGGCTGTCACCAGAACAAATATAAACACTGTTGAATGCATTTATGTTTACTCACTAAGTAGAGATTTATCCGATGCTGCGAGGTTCTTTTGAATACTTAATTAAACCAATTCAAATCGATTTTATAAAATTTGCGCATTTCCTGCCGCTGTCCAAAAGCAGAAATTGCTGGAGAAACTGAGCAGGTCTGGCAGCAACAGTGGAGAGAAAGCAGAGTCAGCGTATCGGTTCCAGCGACCCTTCATCAGAACACAAAAATTATTATAAATTATATACACGAAAATATTCAGGGCTAAAAGGGCAAGATTTGGTAAGAGATATGAGCCACATTTATGCATATAACAGGGAAACATTTTGCTTGATCAACGTCTACATATTTCGTGATTCAATGAGTTTTTTTTATATTGGATTATTTTACACGTTAAAAATAGAACCAGTTGGTTCCTGCTATATTTACATAATGTGTAAATACGTATAATGATTAAATTTGCATAGTCAAAGTTATTCTCCACAAAACTTACTTTTTGTGTCATAGTTTATATCAGTGTATTATGCATTGAATTTGCGTGTCAACATTCTCTCTTCATTTAGCATCCTTATTGTCTGATGGTGTACAGGGCAAAGCAAGGAGGCAGGTCCAAAGAAAGGATCTGAGAAGCAATTTTTTCACATAAACAGTGGTTTGTGCTGGTACGCGGAATGAATTGTCAGAGGAAGTGATAGACGCAGGTGCAGTTACAACATTTAAAAGACGTTTAGATAGGTACATGAATAGGAAAGGTTGAGAGGGATATGGGCCAAACACAGGCAAGTGGGACTCGATTAGTTTGGGAAATTGAGTTGGCATGGACGAGTTGGACTGAAGAGTCTGTTTCCATGCTGTATGACTCTATAACAAGCTCATCAATGTTACAAATGGAAAACTAAATTCATATTTAGACAGAATTTGTTGATGGAGTCGTAAAGCACACTGATAAATGTGGATTTCTTTCTTGCATCTAAAATTTCTGATCATAGAATCCTACAACACAGAAAAATACTATTTGGTCCATCATGTCTGTGCCTGTACTTCAAAAATGATATATTAATTTCTCCGCTTTCACTTTCGCCAAAGCCCTGAAATATATAGATATATATATGTAACAGTTATCATTTAAAATTTGAATCTGTTTCCTTCTCCTTTTCAGGCAATTAACTGGACACCAGAACAGCTTAAGCTTCAATTCATTTATTAATTAATCTGTGTCCTCGGTTACTGATCTATTACTTGCTCTATCAAAACATTTTTTTTTCAAGAATTTTGAGCATCTGGAGTGGGTGTAGAGGAGATTCACAAGATGCTGCCTGGGCTGAAAAATCTGTTATGAGTAAGGATTGGATAGGCTGGGTTTTTTTTTTCCATAGTCAGTGGGGGCTGATGAGGATTTAAATTGAGGTATACAAAATTATGACAGGCATAGACAGGGTAGATTGTGAGAATAATTTCTTCATGACAGATGTGTCTAAGGCCAGAGGGCACAAGTTGAGGTGAGGAGTGAGTAGTTTACAGCAAATCTGAGAAAAATGTTTTTCACCAGGAGGGTGCTAGATACATGGAATGTGCTGCCTGAAAGAGTAGTGGAAGCAGATGATCTCACAACAACTAAGAAGCACCTGGAAGAGTACTTAAAATGTCAAGGCAGAGGAGGCTATGGACCACAGCAGGTTAAAGGAATTGCTGTAGTTTGGTGTTTATTGGTTAGCATAGACATAGTGGGCCAAAGGGCCTGTTTTATGCAGTATAACTCTATTAAATCTACCTTTAAGGATAAATGAAAAATAATCCCAGCTTCTCTCTTGGTCACCCAAAACTTAGCTGCCTCCATCACAAGTTTCACCAAATCATATTGACTCATCATTGCCGTGATCAATGACTTATGTAAACACCTCAATTTTAAAATCCCTACAAAGTCCTGCACTTCTCCATCATTATAACCTCTTAAATCCTACACTCCTCCATTCTAATCTCTTCCTCTTCCTGATGTTCATCACTACATCAATGTCCATCATGCCTTCACCAGCCTAGACTTTAAGCTTTTGAATTTGCTCCCTAAAACTCACATTCCTGTCTACCTCCTTTCCTTTAGGCTTCTACATGAAATGCATTTTATCAGGATTTTCAGTCAGCTGCTCCAATATCTCCTAATGTATCTTGATGTCAAGTTTTGTTTAATAACATAGCTGAGAATCACCTTTGGGATATTTTACCATGTTATGGGTGTTATATGAATGCAGGTCATTGTTGTTCTCGAGTCCTCCTTACAGAATTGTATTTGTCTATCCCTGGTAGCATGCTTGGGATTTTCCTCTGCACCCTCATTAAGCTTTGATGTAATTATCTCCAAAATAAGACCTTAACAACAATATATAATGTTTATACATTTCACAAAAATATGATTAACTGTATCTGTAAAAATCTATTAATTTCCTTAATACCAACATTAAATGTTTTTACTTGAAGGCCTCAGCTAATCTCAAAATAGACTTGATATTTTCAGTCAGAACAAAGTTAACTGAAAGTAAATCTATGGTGAACATTTGCACTGTGTTCAGTTTCCTAGGGTAATTCAGTAGCGTTTAGCTAGCCAAATGAAATGTCTTAGGTTTTGTCAAATTGCTTTATTTATTTCTAAGAATTATTTTAGGAGTCATACAGTCTTTGAGCTGTACAGCATGGAAACAGATCCTTTGGTCCAACTCGTCCATGCCGACCAGATATCCAAAATGAATCTGGTCCCAGCATTTGACCCATATCCGTCTAAACCATTCCTAATTACACACCCATCCAGATGCCTTTCAAATGTTGTAATTGTACCAGCCTGCACCACTTCCTCTGGCAGCTCATTCCATACACGCACCACTCTCTGTGTGAAAGAGTTGCTTCTTAGGTCCCTTTTAAATATTTCCCCTCTCACCTTAAATGTATGCATTCTAGTTTTGAATTCCCCTACCCTGGGGAAACGACCTTGTCTATTCACCTTATCCTGCCCCTCATGATTTTATAAACCTCTATAAGATCACCCCTCGGCCTTGGATGCTCCAGGGAAAATATCCCCAGCTTATTCAGCCTCTTCCTACAGCTCAAATGCTCCAACTCTGGCAACACCATTGTAAATCTTTTCTGAACCCTTTCAAGTTTCACAACATCCTACCTATAGCAGAGAGACCAGAATTGCACGTAGTGCTCCAAAAGTGGCCTAACCAAAGTCCTGTACAGCCACAACATGACCTCGCAACTCCTAGAAAAGCTGAAGGAAGAATTTCAAAGCTTTAAAGAGGTAAAAATACTCATACAGTGGCTTTATACCTGTGTGTCAAAAAGCAGGAGAAAGCTTACACTGCTAATTATACAGTTGCAGATGTAGTTAGGTTTGAATTATAAATGCTCCATAAAATTCAGGAAACCAATTAAGAGGAGAATGACATAAAAACACAATGTTTGTGGCCTAATTTGACTTGCAGGTGTTCTGTGAAGCGATCACCCAGTCTACACTTCATTTCCCCACTGTAGAAGACACCACATTGTGAGCAGCGAATGCAGTAGACTAGAAGTGCAGGAAAAGTGCTGCTTCCCCTGGAAGGTGTGTTTGGACCCTGGATACGGAGGAGGGAGGAAGTGAACTGGCAAGTGTTACACTTTCTGTGGTCGCAGGGGAAGGTGCATGTGACTGTGGCAGTTGGGAGTGAAGGAGGAGTGGACCAGGGTGTCCTGGAGGGAAAAGTCCTTGCACAAGGCTGACAGGGGAGGGGAATATGTGTCTGGTGGTGGCATCCTGTTGGAGGTGATGGAAATGGCAGTGAATGATTCTCTGTATATACATATACAAATGCATACTGTGTTAATGTGAATTCTCCTCTTGAAGAGCAGTGAAGGTTAAAAGCTAACTATATTGTCAATTGAGTTGCTATTTAAAACAAAGAACTGGTATTTATGATTGTAGCAAACAACGGATAGAATAATGCAATTAAATTCCCCATCAGTAGCAATCCCAGAATTTCATTTAATAAAAATATTCAACATAAGTTAATCATTGCTAGAAAAGAGAAATGAAGTCAAAGCATCAGAACTAAAAGATAGGAAAACTAACTTTAGAAAGGAAACAGTTTATATAACAGGCTGCTGATTTGTTGAGTAAAAGTTAGTTTGGAATGCAGCAGGAACTGTTAATTGTCAATCTTACTTAACTTATTAAATTCAAACTCTCAATTCAAACTAGCTCAAACTAGGCAAATCAACTCTCGTTGGTTTGGGAGTTGTCATGGGTAAGCAGCAGGGATTGACACTCTCTCTCTAGCCTTTTATTCAGTGAAAGGTGTAAGTTGTGAAGACATTCTTTCTGCCTATAAAAAACACAGCCTTATGAATAAATGCAACTTCTGGCACACATGAAAAGAATTATATTGCAAGCCAGACCAATAATCTTATGTAAGACACTGATCCAATTCGTAGTGCAGTGGGGACCATTTATTAATTGTTGTCTAATAGAAGAAACACATTCAATGTTGGTCCAGAGTTCTGCAAGCACTACCTGCTTGAGTGTAGTCAGTGTGCTGTTCACATCAGACAGTCAAAGGACCATGCTATTTGATACAGTTTGCTAGGTACTGGGAAGTTTGGTCTGCATACTTGGCATCACACTGGCACTGAAACTCATATGCTGCATTAGACATTCGTGTGGTGGGCAGAATGTCTTTTTGGTTTACAGTAGCATCCAGTTTGTGGTGAACACCAAGCATGTTTGCTGTAATGTAGCAACATTAG